CCTGGAACGCTTGCTCTGTAAGAGCTAAGCAGATTGAGCTTGCCGACTTCCTCCGCAAGCATAGCATCGACGTGGGTCTTCTAACCGAAACCCATCTAAAGTCCGGCGACAGCTTCTGGTTGCCTGACCACAACATTATCCGGCTTGATCGCACCAGCTCCATGGGGGTGGTGTTGCGGTCGTCGTCAAGAAAGGAATAAAATACCACACTCTGTCCCATATCCGCACTTCTATCATCGAGGCCCTTGGTGTGGAGGTGGAGTCGTCGACTGGATACGTCCAGTTCATCGCCGTCTACTGCCCTCGACAGTGTGCCGCCAGCAGTGGACTAGTGGCTAAATTCAAGAAGGACCTGTCCACCATCACCCGTACCGGTTCCCGCTTCGTAGTTGGAGGAGATCTGAATGCTCGCCATGAGGCCTGGCGGAACTACCAGCAGAACCAGAATGGTCGTCTGCTGTTCGACCACTCACAGCATGGGCTGTACTCCGTTTGGTTTTCGGATGAACCAACATTTATCTCACCGGCGGGCAACCCATCGACGCTAGACCTGTTCCTGACAAATATCGGCTTGTCCAAGCCGGTAGCCTTGAACGAACTCAGCTCCGACCACCACCCGGTGGTGGCTGAACTGGGCTGCAACGTGGCTCCTGCTTCAAGCCTGCGCAAGGACTACCATCGCGTAAACTGGGCACATCATCGACAACCCGCCGCTTGATACCGTGGAGAACATGGACCGAGCGTTGGAAGGACTCCACCAAGCCATAACCGTGGCTGACGAGGCGTGCGTCCGACGAGTTCCTGTGAGGGGTAAGTTTATTGCCATTGATACCCACACCCAACTTTTGATTCGTCTGAGAAATGTTCGTAGACGCCAGTTTCAGAGGACTGGAGATCTGGGCAAAAAATGTGAAATGGCCGATCTGAACAGGCAGATTGCTTCCAGAATGGACTCACTCCGAAATGAAAGTTTCGGGCGTGTTGTCCAGAATCTGGACGACCGCTCCAGACCATTCTGGAAGGTAGCCAAGGTCCTGAAAAATCATCCTAAACCCGTTCCACCTCTCAAAGTCGAAAATGATGACGATCGGCTTTTAATCACCCCACAGGAGAAAGCAAATGCGATCGGCAAGCATGTCGCTTCATCGCATTTGCTTGGCTCGACTATCCAAAGTCCGCTCGATGATCAGGTTGCGCAATGCGTTCAAAACCTAGATGTCTCCCCTTGTGTCGTGCCTCCGGCGGATATGATTACAGTACAACAAATTTGCTCAGCGCTGAAATGCACCAAGAACATGAAGGCTCCCTGGTTTGACGGTATATTCAACTTGATCTTGAAGAGACTCAGCATGAAAGTGCAGTCTCTTCTAACCGCTATCTTCAACAGATGCTTGGAACTGCACTACTTTCCAAGCATCTGGAAAGTAGCAAAAATCATACCAATCCACAAACCCGGTAAGGATCTAACATTGCCTTCAAGCTACAGACCAATCAGCCTCCTTTCAGCGCTGAGCAAATTGTTCGAGAAACTCATTCTCAATCATTTGCTCAAGTTTGTTGAGGAAAATAACATTCTCCTTCCGGAACAGTTTGGATTCAGAAAGGGGCACTCCACCAATCATCAGCTAGTACGGGTGTTGAATAACATCCGAAGTAACAAAGCTGTATCCAAGTCCACAGCCATATGGCCTTATTAGACGTTGAAAAGGCGTTTGACAATTTTTGGCATGATGGACTTGTGTACAAGCTTTGTAACTTCAACTTTCCTTTACATCTGGTTAAAATTACCCGTAACTACCTCCAGCAAAGGTCGTTTAAGGTATCGTTGAATGGTTGTCTTTCAGACATGTTTTCCATTCCAGCAGGAGTCCCGCAAGGCAGTCTGTTGGGCCCCTTGCTTTACAGCATTTATACTTCCGACATTCCTCCCCTCGGTGACGGTTGCGTGTTCTTCCTGTTCGCAGATGATACCGCAATAGCCGTCAAAGGAAGGATGCCTCGCGAAATAACGAACAAACTTCAACGATGCCTTAACGCCTTTGCTGATTATGCCACCACGTGGAAAATCAAAATCAATGCCTCCAAAACACAAGCGATCATGTTCCTCCATCGGCAATCGCCCAAACTGAAACCGGCTCCATCTTGTACTGTAATCATGGATGGCACAAGGGTTGAGTGGTCTGCCGAAGTAACCTATCTCGGGATGTTGTTCGATGAAAAGCTGCTCTTCCGTTCGCATGTGGAGAAAACCGTAATCAAGTCTTCCGCCTTGGTTAGGAGTCTGTATCCGCTGATTTGCCTCAGATCCCGCCTCTCAAGGGTGAACAAACTGGCCGTCTACAAACAAATCGTAGCACCTGCGATCCTCTACGCAGCTCCGGTGTGGGAATCATGTGCACAGACTCACAGGAACAAAATCCAAATCGCTCAGAATAGAGTGCTGAGGATGGTTCTTGATCGTCCTTTCGACACTAGAATAACAAATTTACATGAAGAGGCAGGCATTGCCAAAATAGATTCCCGAATTAACGAAATTAAGACTAAATTTGCACAAAAATGTATTTTATCAGAACATGCTTTGATAAGCAATTTGTATATAGTAGATTAGGTGTATATAGTAGTTGTAGGTTAGTTATAGTTGTAAATAGTAGTTATAAGTAGTCTTCTTTTTCAAATTTAAAACAAACCAATTCCACCAAGGTGGTCATTCTTAAAACAGGCCTGATAGGACTAGGAACTGTAATTAATAATAATTGAAATTTCAAAGGAATTTAAGTTGAAAAGACGCATCTGCGTCACTTGATAAGTTATACATGTAAACCACACAAATTCAAGAAATATAGATCATTTAAAGTGAAAAGTGCCTCTGCTCATTACCGCTTCGGACGGCGTGGCACTAGGTCCTGCATCAAGCAGGACTAGGTCAGCGGCTAAAAATGGATCAAGGCGTGTCCACCACAATGAGGGATGAGACTTGAAAAAACGTGCATGTAAAACACCCTCCCGCTTAACAATCCCCTCCCCCTCGCCCTTAACAATAACCCGAAAAAGACATGGACTTTGTCGATCATTTTTTTTCGGGAAATAAATTGTAAGCAAACCCTAATAATGTATGAACAAATAATTTTTTACATGCAGAGCCAACATTTTTAAAAAAAGCATTGCTTAATAGGAGACATACACTCGATGAATTACCAACAACTGACTGTAAAACATATCTGGTACCTCTATATATGCAATTATATTGACATCCAAAGTCCATCCTTTTTTACATATTCTGCACAAAAGAAACTTTTTGCTCCGCCCCATTCATAAAAAACGGCGGGAAATTCTATCAGGTTCTAAACCTGAAAAGATATAAAACAGCTGCGCTTCGGACGGCGTGGCACTTGGTCCTGCAGTAAGCAGGACCAAATCAGCGGCTAAAGGTGGATCATGGCGTGACCACAATGAGGAAAAATAATTATATAAACCCCCTCCCTTTCACAACAACCTCTGATTCGCTAGTGTGACATATGTTGAGCATCTAGAATTAAGATTTAGATGTGTCGCCCCCTCGACAATTTGAGTATTTTTGGAATCGGGATGACGTGTAGAGTTTAGAAATCCATATCTGACGCCTTTTTAAAAATTCAAATGGTGGTTTCCAGTTAGAGAAAAATATAAAAATACTGTAAAATATCCCTCAATATGGATATTTTTGGAATCGTGTTGATATATAGAGACCAGAAATTCATGTCTGACGCTATGTTGGAATCCAACACGGTGGCTTCCGGTAGAAGAAAAGTTTGGAAACACTGTCAAATACACCACAATATGAGTATTTTTGGAATCGGGATGACATGTAGGCTCCGGAAATCCATGTCTGATGTTATTTTGAAATTCAATATGGTGGCTTCCGGAAGACTCAACGACTTCACCGATCGCATTCCGCACTGTACCGTCGTATTGGATGACCAGATCTTCCAGACTTTTGACTAATTGTCGCTGGAGGTAACCCGTTTCAGCTGTCTCGACTGCCGTATTGACAACACACTCTTAACCGGTCACCGTTCAGAGCATACTTATAGCACAGACAAACAGACGTAACACTTCATTGTGTATCTTCGTTCACGCATTTAACGGTTGATTTGAATATTATCAGTTCCGCGAACTACTCGCCGCAGCGCTGGCATCGGATTACTTTGACGTTTCTATACATTCTATAGAACTTTTATGCAATATTGTTTGCGAGTTAGCAATATTGTTTTCCGCGAGAAGCCAGAGAGATGTCGTTACTGAGGTCCTATGTTTTGAGATACTATGTTTTCAAGAAAAACTTTTTCAAAGTGTTACGTCTGTATGTCTGCGCTTATAGATTTTCATCGAACGATCATCGAAATCGGTTAACAAAGTGTTCAACCGAGTAGGCAACGATTAGCTAAACGTCAACACTCAAGAGTTCTATATTATATTGTTTGTGTCCTACTTGTCAAAGTGTGCCCTATCGTGCTGAACAGTGTTTCGGCACAGTGTGCAGAGTTGATTACCCCCTGGCCAGGAAGTACACATGAATTGCAACCCCCGGTGCGGTTGCTGCGTTATGGTGGAGGTTTCTAAAATAGCTTTAACAACGCATTGGTGCGGGTGGTCTAAGTCAACTAATAAGCAGACGCCTTACAAAAATTAATGAAGGTCATGTGTCAAATCAAATGTATAAATTGTCACACTATACCGTAAACCGCCATAATTCTGTGCAGTTAAGAAAACCGTTATTTCAACTACCTAGGTGATAAAAAAAAAGTTTTGAAACTAGGCGCTACTCAAAATGTTAGAATTCCAGCACAAACTTGCTTTTTTGTTCCTAGCGAACACAGAATTCCATGAAGTTTCAGAATCTGAAATTCGTTTATATCTTCGATAAAATTTTGAAATGATTAGCATTTACAATCTATTTGTTATTATTCTGATTCGTGGATATTTCTTCAAAAGCTCTGACAACATAAATCTAAGCCACTTACCTCCTACTTCATGAGATCAATCGTAACCAGCACCAAACAGCCAAAGGTCCAGCTAAAGATCAACAGCAGCCAAAAGTTGCCCTTGAACGGGCTCCGGAATTCATTCACAATGCCCCGGCCGATCATGCTTTCGCAAACTCGCCGGGCGTAAAAGACGAGGAAAATCGGTATCAGATACTGGATGCCCGTTCCGGCGTAGCACCCGGTGAAGCCGACCAGCGAAATAACACTCTCGGTGAAGAAGCACACTACTATTGGCGGCACGATGGCCAACAGCGGGAAGAACACTCGGCGCAAGACAAAGTTGTACGACTCCATCTGAGTAGTGTCGAGGAAGAGCGTCTGCAGATTGCTCCGTAGGGTTATGGCAATGATCGGGAAGCTGGCCGAGAGGGTAAATACTGGAAACAGGGCCAGGAAGTACTCGATTCCTTTGAGGAACATGCTGTCCTGATCGGAATTGGGGACAAAGTTCAGCGTGTATAGATCCTTGATGTCGCTGAAGGCAAAGATTCCGGTCAGCGCCAGTGACAGGTAGAATGCGCAGATTAGAATGTAATCCATCGATATGAGCGATTTGAGTCGACGTTTGTTTGAGATCGGTGTCAGCAGACTGGGCAGTGAGTGGTGGCACATGAACGAATAGATACAAGTACCTATTAGGTACGGGATGCCAGTAAAGTCGGCACGCTTCGGTACGACCGGGTCGTTTTGTTGTGCGAACAGTCGATGGATAGCTATGCTAATCATGACCGAGAAGGCAAGCCAACGGAAAAATACCGTCACCAGCTGAAGGTATTTGGTTTTTTGTACGTTGAAGAAGACAAATGGCCCAAGGATGGTAATGAATGCCACCAGACACAGTCTGTAGATGTCGAACCGGGAAAGTGCGCTATCTTCCCAGCACCGTAGCGTCACATCGTCGCTATCTGTTGCATTGGCCGAATGATTGTAAGCACTGTAAAGGAAACAAAAATCTCATGTCAGATCGGAACATTAATTTCCAACAGAAATCGCCACCAGTCTACTTACCACAGAACATCCCTCAGACTTTTTGCGATAGCAGCCGAATAAATGCTCAAGTCCCCGTACAGATATACCGCCAGACAGAAGTAGAACAGGAATCTTCCTATCCGCCCGAAGAACAAATTAGCCATCTCGCCTAGCTCGATCTTGGTCGACAAACTGTAGTACTGATTCCGGCTATACATTATATTCAACGGGGTCTGTTCGATACTGGCATCGGTCATATCGCCATCTGCTGCTATACCAGATTGTATCAAAGGTTCCGAAATCGATTCTACATTACTGTCCTCGTCGTGCTCAACCACTCGGTCCCGTTTGATGAACTGTAGCCGTTTCCAATTTTGGATAGCATTGGCACAGGCCATCGTTTCGATTACGAAGGTCACCGTCATATAGCTGGCAAAAGCCAACACAACGATAAGAACCGATCCGAGCACCCATCCTGCGTGGCTGAATGCTGATGGAAGGGTCAGCGCTCCCGTTCCGACGATTAGGTTGAAAATGAATACGAAACCAACCTGCGGAAAGCGATAAAATTTGTTTATGTTATGAATGCTTTGAGTATGACTAAGGCAGTAGTTCTTCCGTAATAGATATCCGACTTTCCTTTGTAGTTGGTGATTAATGTCCACCCAACGTCTTGTTTGGTGCTACGAAAGCAAATAAAGAGACAAGGAAGACGTTCTACTTACCCAAGTCGGGTATTCCTCCTGTGCCCTACGATTAGGCATATCATTTGCAGTGGCGAGTTCCGGTCATTAATAACACAGTTTGAAAAAACGAACTGAAAGAGAGTTTTTGCGCTATTGTTTGTTCGATAAAATAGTCATAAAAAGAGTTTTTTTTTAACTTTCTGCTCCGGTCTTCTTCTTCTTCTTCTTCTTTCTGGTTGCGAGCTCGAAAACGAACTTGCCAGTTTCTGCTCCGGTCTACACAACGTCTTATACAAAAATGATTTCGAAGCAAAACAAAGGATCACAAGCAAATTGCGAGGGTGGAAAAAAACAAAAAACATCGTCATGATGTATGTCAAAAACTGTCGGAGCTGGAGCGGCTTGCATGCAAGTGGCTTACATACACGGAAACTTTCATATACTGATCGATGATGGTGCGGAGTCGATCACTTTCAAATTTCAAGTAATTTTGCTTGATATCTCAAATAAAATCATTCGACAGCCATTACTCGTATTCATCGGACGTGTGCTCTTTCTGCTCTGCTTAACTTGGTGAAATATTATAGCGAAAATGAGTGTAGTTCGTAAAAACACACTTGTTGTTGACTTCAGTGTCCTTCCAGTTCGTCCCAATGCGGGAAAAGTGTAAAAATTCTTCGAGAACAATATTAAGCTTCAATATTCGGACGTTAGATGCATTCAGTTTCATAACGTCCGAAATTGTGTTTTTATTGTGATGATAGACCTAGGGGCAAGACGGCTGCACTCAGAGTTAATATTTTCACAGCGAGTAAATTTGAGTAAATCATTATTACTCAAAAGTAGTAGTCTCGCATTCGTAAAAAAAATTAAAATTAAATCAGTATAAACGAACATAAACTGTCAGAGTATTCATTTATTCTAGTTTTGTATTCTTGAAAGAAATACTCAATAATCCATGTGTATTTATTTTCAGCATGAATTACTCTTATAAGCGTAGTCTCAGAACAATGGTAGGACAACAAAGTTGAAAAATCAGGAATAGGTATTTCCGAAATGATCCGAAGAAGGCCTGGTACGAAAAACGAGTTCGTATTTGGTGTGTTTTATGACGGGTCGCCTTAAGTTTTCGGCAAACGGTGTGTTCTTTCTATTATACATTTCAACATCTTATTGCCACACCACTAATCCGAAATCGTGAGGGAGCTGCAATTCGAAGTGAACAAATATATCAATCCCGGTATAAACTAAGAGGAAAGGTTTTATTTTAAATAAATTTCCTTGACATTACCCCCAGAAATTACGACTGAATTGTGATGGTACGGTACATTTGCGAAAGAAGAGAAAAAGTCCTATCAGTAAAATTTTCGATCAGTTTTCAGTCGTACAGACAATACAGTCTTTGAATCAAAAAGCCGTAGTCTTTGGGGGTTATTCCGAGAGTCAAAGCGACTTTTGTCACTAGTGAAGTGAGAAAAGTCATGTCGTGGTGATGTGACTCTCTGTGTAAATCAAATGGAGAAACGCGTCACCACGACGTGACTTTAATCACTTCACCAGTGACAAAAGTGGAATAACCCCCATCTATAGTCTTTTTCGTGTCTATGCAATCTGCCAAAATGTTCGCAATGGAGTGCTAAATAACCGTGTTCAATAACCGTTTGTATCATCACTATGATAAATTTTGTCACTACTCCATGTTAACTAGAAAATCCTACTATTATAATCGCCATCCAATTATAAGATTTTCCTCGTCAAACATCTTTGCTTGACAATTGTGGAGTGCACACAAAACAAACAGGTTGCTATGTCACATTGACATTGAATATTGAGCAACTCGAGTTACTCAGAGTTACTCAAAATTTACTCCAATTTTACTCATTATCCAAAGCTGTCTTACCCCTAGTGATAGACAATGAAGTTGCCTTGTGCTATGATAAGGCGCACAACTATAAACACGCGATTCTCTGTGCAAAGAGTGAGTTCAAAATCCCGGTATATGTGGATTGTGAAGCAGTGACCGTTCGAGTGCATGATCTTCCTCTGGCATGGCCACAAGCCACTGTTATGAACCACATGGCAAAGTATAGGACAGTGATTTCCAGTCGACATGAGAAATGGAAGCACTACTTCCCAGGATTCATGAGCGGTGTTCGAGTTTTGCGAATGCGACTCGAAAGCGCCATTCCATCGTACATCACGGTCGACAAAGAAACAACGTTGGTAACGTACGACAAGCAACCAAAAACGTGCCGCCATTGTGGCCGAGCAGCTCATCCCAAACAGAATTGTTTGGATGTAGCCACATCGAACAATAGCACCGCTCCAGCAGCTCCACCAACCGAGGGGGTATTCAGTCTTGCTGATTTCCCGTCGATTGATATCGAACAAAACCAGCCAACGACATCGGGTCAATCATCCCGAATAGAAATTTACATTAGCACAACGTTTGATTTTGATGTCTACATCAGCATCGAAATCAAATGTATGCCTGATGTCAAACATTAGAAAACATTATGATTTAGTTGTATTTAAGCAACAAAATTTTGCCATTCTAATGTCGGTGTGACGCGGGGGGGACCACTCTATCTACGATGCAAAAAAGATTGTGTTTTGCTGTGGCTAGCTGCACGCACGCTGAGTAGATAGAAGGAAGATTTATGTCGATTTTGAAGATTTCCTGCAAAAAGATGAAGCGCGATGCAAGTAGATGCGAGAAATGAAAGATGATTTTTCGAAGATTGATTCGCTAATGTGAGATTTTTTGAGCATCTAGAATTGAGATTTAGATGTGTCGCCCACCTCGGTCTGACGTCAAAAATTTCAATCTTTTGACATTAGAACCAAACGTTTTAAGGATGTTTTCGGATGTAAAATACATTAGAACTAAACGTTGTTTAAATGTTTTTATATGTAAATGTTTTCTGATGTTTTTTAATGTAGAAGTTTCCTGATGTTAGAACCAAACGTTTTTGGATGTATTCTGATGTTTTATCCATGCAACAAATTACATCGTGATGAAGTTTGATTCTAATGTAACGTTAGGTTCTGTTGTCATTGGATGTATTCTGATGTCAAATTTTACATCGTCAAGACGTTTGATTCTGATGTAACGTTTGAGGCTAATGTATTTTTATGTACTTGGACGTCACACTGAAGTCTGAATACATTAAGGGTACAGCAATACACGTTAAAATTTAATGTATTGAAGATGTCTGCTGATGTTTCCTACATTACAATTTCTATTCGGAAACACTTTTGAACGAAAAAAAAAAAGTTTCGTTTTGAATATTTTCGTAGTTAAAACTAGAAATACTCAGAGGGAGAGATGGGCGGAGAAAACAAAATACAATTCGGCAGCAGGGATTTGTATCTAAATTATCTTGCAACCCTTGCTAAAACTTAGCATTTCACATGACTTTTACTTTTGATTCGATTTACGTGTAAATTAATAATTGATTGCATCGCAATATTTTGTTCATTTATTGGTGCCATTAATTAACCAACTAAGATCAATTAATCAATAGAGCTAGAATATTGCTTTTGATTCCAAAAACTAGTTGAATTTGAGAAGCACACGAAACATAAAAGTGATTGAATTTCTGTTCGATTGCAATACTCTCAAATTGAATCTAGTAAGAATAAGAAATCCTCGGAAAAAAATCTAATGGGAATGTTCGTTTGGCTCAGATTTTGACAGTTCATTTGGCTCAAAACATTCTCTCCGCTCATCTCTCCTTCTAGTATTTCTAGTTAAAACTACGAAATCTGTGAAAATTTTAATAAAAAATTGCCTAATTTTTAAAGCTACAATATTTGTTTTTTGTGTGTACCTTATACCCTGGACAGACTATGGCTTATATCATGTAATATAGGCTGTCTTGCAATGAGCACTCATATATAGGATTTCCAGTGAAAACTAGATGTATGAGTGCTCATTGCAAGACAGCCTATATTACATGATATAAGCCATAGTATGTCCAGGGCATTATACCCCGGACAGACTATGGCTTATATCATGTAATATAGACTGTCTTGCGATGAGCACTCATACATCTAGTTTTCACTGGAAATCCTATGTATGAGTGCTCATTGCAAGACAGTCTATATTACATGATATAAGCCATAGTCTGTCCAGGGTATTAGCATAGAGGTAACTCTAATACCAACAATCAATACGAAACTAACGATTTTAAATTGGCTCACCACTTTAGTAGCCTATTGGTCCCAAGCAAACGATTAACGTACCCTATTCTAGTTGAAATTCTATTACTACACTATGTTTGTTTTGATTCGCTATGAAAGTTTGACAGATAACATCAGGGGTGTGTGGATTCATGCAGAACATGCAGGGGTGAGTGAAATAGCTTGGGACTGCTTGGGACCGTTGTTCTGGTACTGAGTGAGCCAAAAATAATAATGATTTTCTTCGGGACCCAGTGGTCTTAGAGTTACCTCTATGCTAATACCCCGTTCACATTACAGCGTATATCACGTGATATACGCTGTCTTGTAATGAGCACTCATACGTCTAGTTTTCACTGGAAATCCTATGTATGAGTGCTCATTGCAAGACAGCCTATATTAAGTGATATAGGCTGTAATGTGAACGGGGTATAAGACCACTGGGTCCCGAAGAAAATCATTATTATTTTTGGCTCACTCAGTACCAGAACAACGGTCCCAAGCAGTCCCAAGCTATTTCACTCACCCCTGCATGTTCTGCATGAATCCACACACCCCTGATGTTATCTGTCAAACTTTCATAGCGAATCAAAACAAACATAGTGTAGTAATAGAATTTCAACTAGAATAGGGTACGTTAATCGTTTGCTTGGGACCAATAGGCTACTAAAGTTGTGAGCCAATTTAAAATCGTTAGTTTCGTATTGATTGTTGGTATTAGGTTTTATTCAACGTTTGATATAGATTATTGTTTATAATTTTCATTTTTAATGTATAGTTTCTTTAATATTTTTACTTCACTTTATGTAAATCTTATATCTAATGCCAACTAGCTACAGCTTCTATAATAGCACAGTCACATAGTACCGCCAGGATGTTGAATACAGTAACTAATTTATGGTATTCCAACGCATTGCTTATTGCGAGGCTTATTGCAAAAAATCACGTTAGCAACCGGACAGCAACTGAGCTGTCGAAATTTCCCTACAAGAAAACAAAAACAAATAATTTCTTATTTCAT